CAAGGCGAGCTTTCAGCCAAGCAGCCAGAATAAGGAGCCATCAACAACATCAGCAGCCATCAACAGCATCTGCAACTTCATCAGCATCAGCGGCAACAGTAACACCAGGCGCAAAAACATAAAGAAGCTCACTTACATACATTCATCGCTACATAAACAAAGGAAAGTAGTAAGTAGGCAAATTTTTAATTTAAAAAAAAAATTTAAAAATTTAAATAATATAACTTTCATATTCTTAAAAGTTATATTATTTCTAATAAACTGCCAACGGGCATACATACATATATATATGTATGTATGCCCGTTGGCAGTTTATTAGAAATAATATAACTTTCATATTCTTAAAAGTTATATTATTTCTAATAAACTGCCAACGGGCATACATACATATATATATGTATATAATTAAATAAAAGGCGTATTTTTTCTCGCCAAAAACGGTTCTATTAAAATTGCGGATATTTTCCTGCCGCACAAAATTCCACAACGGCAATTTGCCGCTATTAAAATTTTGGTAGAAAAATTCCGTTTTCCGGAAAGCGGTATACCTCCACTTACCGCCAATCTTATATATATATAGGTATATGTATATATATGCAAAATTTATTATATACCCCAAAATAAATTTCGTTGCAGTTTATATGCCTACTGTGTCCCACTGTGCAAGAATAAAATATTAGCACATTAAAATCACATNTCAATTCGCAAACCAAACCAAGCTGTGCAAAAACTGGTTTGGTAATACCCATAGCACTAATGAGTGTCCGAGTAAGTGGTCATGTACACATTGCCAACAACGGCATCACTCCCTGCTGCACATGAATCCCAAACCACAATCTCGACACTCCAGTGCGCGAGCGAATGAAACCGCCGCACAACACACTACTGCCCAGTCGACACCTCCCGCTCGACAAGCGCAGTCAAGCTCCGATTCCAGCGAGCAACCGTGCTGTTCCAAACAAGCACAAATACAATCATTGCATACCGACAATGATAGCAAAATTCTCCTTCCAACTGCCATGGTCGCAGTTGAACACGAGGGGGAATTGTTTCAACTTAGAGCCTTGATTGATCAAGGCTCACAAAGAACTTTCATTTCCTCGAAAGTTCAAAAACGATTGAAACTACCATTCGAACATTCCAAGTTCGAAATTTCCGGCATGGGTGGACATGTAGTACAAAGCTCCTCAAAGCTTTGTCCACTCACATTGGTTGCACCCAAAACCATGCAACGGATAAACACACAGGCTATCGTGTTACCTCAGCTCACGAGGCACATGCCTACGTTCACCATTAGCCGTGAAAACTGGCAGCGATTCAAGATCCTTGAACTTGCTGACCCAAGCTGTCACTTACCAGCTCAAACTGATATGGTAATCGGCAGCGATATACTTCCACAAATCCTGCTGGAAGGTATAAAAAAGATTTGCGACACTATACTTGCGCAAAAAACAATATTTGGCTGGATTCTCAGTGGTCCAATAACCGAAAATGTGGTGTCATTCTCGACACAAGTAGAAGAGTGCTCGAATACAACTCTGAGCTCTCAGCTTAGAAAGTTTTGGGAAGAGGAGGAGATTCCACAACCTCCACAAATTTCCCGTGAAGATCAGGCATGTGAAAATATGTATGCAACAACAACGACTCGTGCCCCAAACGGTCTATACATTGTGCGACTTCCATTCAAGGAAGAATTTCCAAAAAAGCTGTCTCTGGGCCACTCTCGGTCTGCTGCACTTCAGCAGTTTTTTTAGCATGGAGCGATCGCTACAGAAAAAAGGAGACTTAGGCACAATGTACAACAATGTGTTGCAAGAATATCTCGACCTCGGGCATATGGAGCACACGAAGCCATGCGAGATAATAACGAATTGCAAATACTTCTCGTTCTACTTGCCACATCATGCGGTCGTCAAACCAGATAAGGTAACCACCAAAATTCGCGTGGTATTCAATGCCTCAAAAACATCTGGTTCAGGAAATTCCCTGAATGACGTGTTGCACACTGGTCCCACACTCCAGCCAGATCTCATGCTGCTCATTCTGCAGTGGCGAATGCACAGATTCGTGTTCAATGGCGACATTGAAAAAATGTATNATTCGTGTTCAATGGCCACATTGAAAAAATGTATCGTCAAATGCTCATCCATGAGGACGATAAACATTTTCAGCGAATCTTATTTCGCACATCGGCTGACTCTTCTGTCACCGATTATAATCTTAAAACCGTAACGTTCGGGGTTAATTGTGCACCATACCTCGCTATCCGTACCCTGCATCAATTAGCAGATGATACGATAGCGACATTTCCCTTGGCTGCCACAATACTTAAAACCGAAACGTATGTGGATGACATCCTATCCGGAAGTCATGATATTGACAACGCCACTGAATCACTTTTTCAAGTGATCAAAGCGCTTAAGTCAGCTGGTTTCATACTCAAGAAACTAACGGCCAATCATCCGGCCATTTTAGAAAAATTTCCAAAGGAGGATCTTCTCGACTCCAACTTTTTGAAATTTCAGAGCGCTTTCACAACCAAAACTCTTGGTATACAATGGAACGCACTCACAGATAAATTTTCATACACCATTCTGCCTGCATCGACATCGAATGCCGTCACAAAGCGACAAATTTTATCTTCTGTCGCAAAACTTTTTGACCCGGCAGGATGGCTATCGCCAGTGATGATTCAAGCAAAGATTCTTCTTCAAGAACTTTGGCTAGATGGCGTTGATTGGGACGAATGTGCCAAACCTATATCCTTGGCAAAATGGCAACAGTTCGCAGAAAATCTACCAGCCATCTTCCACATCGAAATCCCTCGATGGGTTAATTTCACTCCCGGGCAAGATACCCAAATCCACGGGTTTTGTGATGCCTCGGAAAAAGCATATTGCGCTGCGATTTACATCCGCGCAGATGCTAGCAACCAAAGATATTCCACTCTCTTGGTTGCAAAAAGCAAAGTCGCACCATTGAAGACGGTAAGCTTGCCACGCCTGGAGCTGTGTGGTGCAGTCTTACTCGCAAAACTGGTCGCAACTGTTCGAAAACAGCTCAAATTGGAATCGTGCAACACATTCTTATGGTCAGATTCAGAGATTGTGCTAGCTTGGCTTGAAAAGCCACCATGTACATGGAAGACGTATGTATCCAATCGTACCTCTCAAATCCGGGAATATCTTCCAACCGGTGCATGGCGCCATGTTTCCAGCCAAGATAATCCAGCCGACCTCGGCACCCGTGGGTGCAAACCGCAGGATTTGGCGAATTCCCCACTCTGGTGGCACGGACCAACATGGCTCTCTTGCCACATGGATGCATGGCCAAGGTCAAAGGCATGCAGTGCATCTCCACCAGAAAAGCGCAAGGTGGAGGTATATCACGCGCTCGAAGAAGAGGTCGATTTTCTTGATCGCTTTTCTTCTTTCTCTCGAGCACTCCGCGTGACTGCGTACATGTTCCGCTTCGTGAGCAATGCCCGCAACAAATCAAAGGGGTTAGCCACAATCACCTATCCACATCTGACACATAACGAATTTCAATATGCAAAAATTCATCTTATCAACGCAGCGCAATCACGCCATTTTCCGAGCGAAAAAAGCGCTTTGCAAGATAAAAAGCCACTTAACAAAAAAAGTCCTCTTATTGTTCTCAATCCTTCGTTGGACAAAGACGGACTTTTACGGGTTAATGGCCGATTAGCACATTCCACATTAAGCTATAATGAAAGGCACCCAATAATTCTCCCTACCGAATCGAGGTTCTGCCAGCTATATTTGGAGTTTTTACACTCGCTGCTTCTTCACGCAGAAACACGATTAATGCTCCAAATGGTAAGGCAAGAGTACTACGTACCAAAGCTGAAACCTCTAATTAAAAAATGCATCTTTCAATGCAAAGTGTGCACGCTTTACAAGCAACAAACACGCACCCAAATAATGGCCGCTCTACCCCCTGAGCGCTGCAGTTTCTCACTCCCATTTTCCACAACGGGAGTAGATTTTGCTGGGCCATTCCAAATTAAAGCATCGGTGCTAAGATCTACAACCCTTATCAAGGGATACGTTGCAGTTTTTGTCTGTTTTTCCACAAAGGCAGTGCATCTCGAGCTATGCTCGGATCTTACAACCGAGGCTTTTCGAGCAGCATTCGCCCGCTTCGTTGGCAGACGAGGTTTTCCCTCAAAAATGATGAGCGACAATGGAAAAACGTTCATTGGCGCCCAGCGCGCAACAGAACGCGACTTCGTTAAATTCCTTAACGAATGTTCCGCAGACATTGTCAAAAAATATGCCCCTCAAGGCATCAACTGGCAATATATACCACCCAGCGCCCCCCACATGGGCGGCTTGTGGGAATCTGCAGTGAAAAGCTTTAAAATCCATTTAAAGAAAACCGCTGCAACCCACAAGTTCACTTTCGAAGAATTCACGACGCTTCTGGTGCGAATTGAAGCAGTCCTCAACTCGAGGCCTCTATCCGCACTTTCTCAAGACCCAGCTGATATGACAGCACTTACTCCGGGTCACTTCCTTCGAGGTGCACCGCTATTGGCCATTCCCGAGCCTAATGCGGAAGACCTCTCTCTACTAAACCGGTGGGAGAAAGTCAAAGCACTTCACCACCAATTTAGTCGCCGCTGGAAAGAAGATTACCTCAAAGATCTTTAGAAGAGATACAAGTGGAAAACCCCACAACGCGATCCTCAGCCAGGCGACCTCGTCGTGATCAAAGAAGATTCGCTCCCCCCCACCGAGTGGCGATTGGGACGAATCGAAAACGTTCGCAACGGCCCTGATAACCACATACGTGTCGTAGAAATCCGTACGCAAAATGGAGTTACCACGCGGCCACTTGTCAAACTGTGCTTCCTTCCAAAAGCACAATAAATAATTCTATACATCTTTTCCTTTTGTATATTAAGGGTCTTAACCTCCCGTTTAAATATTGTACCCAAGTACTTCTCGTTTCTCTGCCTTTGCTTCTACTTCCAGATCGAAGACATCATGGCAGCACGGAAGGCATGCCCCCTGGCTCCAACGGCAGATACAGACAACTGCCTACAATGCCGGCTCTGCCACCGGTACCACGCATTGTGGACGTGCCCGGCCTTCAAGGCGATGAAGCCGCCGCAACGGTTGGGAGTAGCCCGCGCGCAGGGCTACTGCGTCAACTGCCTTGCGCTCACCCACACTACCGGGGAATGCGACTCGCCGGGTAGTTGCAAGACCTGCGGGCTAGCGCACCATGTAGCAGCCAACACCCATCGCGCACGGGGCCAAGGGAACAGGGTCCAAGAAGAGGAAACCGGCCACAAAGGCCCCAAGGAGCGTCAAGCGGCGCGCACCGCCGAAGAAAAAGGCGCTGAAGAAGGCGCAGAAGAACCCGCGCAACCATGCGCCGCAACCGCCGCGCAAGAAGACCGCCCAACGGACGATCGCGCGCACTCCCCAAGGCCTACAAACGGCCAATTTCCAGGGCCGCACCACCCACCGCGTCCTTGGCAACACGATCCGCGCCCTGAAAGAGCTGCAGGAGACGCTCAGCAACGCATTCCTGCAGGGCCGCCGCTTAAACTTAATACATGGTAAGCCGGGGTGTATCAATTTTGAGTAAATTAGCGTTCTTTAATTTCGAAATATTGAAGTTTCAAGCATTTCTGAAATTTACCGTTATATGAAAAGCGGCCGTAATTTTAGTCCGATTTCAATAATTTTCAACGTTTTGCTTTTACGTGGCAAGCACAATAAACATACCAAGTTTGGTACAAATTGGTATAACGGTTACCGAGATACATATATGTAATCATTTTCCAAAATTTTATTATAAACGTATTTCCTGGTAAAGAATTGTTGCAACCATCAATTTTGAATAAATTAGCTTTAATATTTACTGGTTTATCGAAGATTTTGTATTTCTCTAAATTACCGTTATATGGGATGTGGGCGTGGTGTTTGTCCGATTTAAAAAAATTTCGGCCATTTGGTACACTGTACCAAGGCCAATAACTGTGCCAAGTTTGGAAGAAATTGGTGCAACGGTTACTCAGATACACACATGTAACCATAAGTGGGCGTGGCTACGCCCATTTTCCAAAAGTTTATAATATTCTTGTTTTTCGTCTTAAAATTATTGTAAATATCAATTTTGAGTCAATTATCATCAGTATTTACTAAAATAACACAGTTTTCTTATTTCTGGAAATTACCGTTATATGGGAAGTGGGCGTGGTTGCAGTCCTATTTCGCCCATTTTCAATACCAACCTACCTTGGATAAATGGAAACCTACATACCAAATTTCGTTGAGATATCTTAATTTTTGCTCGAGTTATCGTGTACACGGACGGACAGACAGACGGACAGACGGACGGACAGACAGACATGGCTTACAGTAGCTACACACGACGAGCATATCCGCGCACATGTGCGCCAACATGCTGACTGTTGTTTGCTACAGACGGCGAGCGGCTCATAAGCGATCTTGTACTCAAAGCGTAAACATGGAAAGGAAAGACGCGGATGATGCAATTGAAATACTTATGACTTCGGGTTTTTTATGTATGTGTTACTTAAATTTATTTATATTTTACTTATATGTATGTACATAAATATACATATAGTAATTTAGCCTCATTTATCAAAAATTCAATTAACGCACATGGCTTGGATGCATTTATCCGCGATGTGCACACTGCAAGCATCAACATAAAGTGAGGTTGTTGTTTTTGTTTCCAATGCGATGCTCGCAAACCACGCTACAAACGACGAGCATGACCCGCAAGCCGCGCGTGTGCGCAGATATGCTCGTCGTGTGTAGCTACTGTTAAGCATGGCTGAGCATTTATGTATACATTTGTCTATATCTATCTCGATTCGTTTTGCCTGTTACAAACAACCGTTATGTGAACAAAATTAATACACCCTTGTGCACAAGTGCGCTCGGGTATAAAAATAAACAAAATGCACACCTTCAAGAATAACGCAGTTCGGCAGAATGTGGCGAAAACAGGCTCAATCGATCAACGAAAGGGATGTCCAAGTATTAATGACGGGTGTCATCTCTAAAGTACGGGTATTTTGGCGTGGAAATTAATTCTAATAATATTTGTAAGTCTTTCATCTAAATAGAAATAAAAGAAGGTTCTAAAAAAGTTTCGACTGAATTATTCATATTATATTAGTTTTTTGGTTCCTTAAAACCTGCCAGATTTCAACTGAAGCAGATATTATGTAAGTATATTAAACGAGAAGAAATTTTTGGTGAAGGTGATTGGATTTGCATCGTTCTTTCGAATTTCAAATATGAGAGGACGAAGTAAAGACTTTGCCTGTAGATATGCGATAAGATTTATTGAAGTTTTTTTTTAACGGTACAGGGTGATTTGAAATTTAATGATATTAAAAACCGACACTATTCAACTAGGATCGCGTATAGTTCTAACTAAATTTGGAATAGTTTCTAGGTATTTGAATTAAAATTTTGGGCGTTTTAACGCCCTGTGGGTTTACTAGTCTATATATATAATACGCGAAAGGATTTTTTGTCCAGGTCAAGATTGCACCGTTCGTCCGATTTACAAAAGTGAGGTGCCAAATTAAAGGGCGTGGGCTGTAGATGTGCAGTAAGGTTTTACTTTTTGGAAAGGAGTTGCCACCTGTTAAACAATTAAACTCAAATTATTTAAAAACAATTGCCACCAGATCCGCACCGTTCGTTCGATTTTCAAAAATGAGATGTCAAATTAAAGGGCTTGGGCTGAAGACATGCATTAAGGCGTTACTTTTTCGAATAGAGTTGCCACCTGTTAAACAATTACACTCAAATTATTTAATTACCAGTGCGATCAGAACCTCACCTTTCGCTCAATTTTCAAAGGTGAGGTGTTAAATTAAAGAGCTCGGGCTGTAAATGTGCAATAAGGTTTTACTTTTTGGAGAGGAGTTGCCACCTTTTAAAAAATTAAGTTCAAAATATTTAAAAAGTTAAAACAATTATTACAAATAAATATATATTGATATATATCAATCGAAATGGTTTTAAAAAGTTTGGTTTCTTAACTTCACTGTAAGAGGGGTGTCACCTGTTTAAAAAATTAAATTAAATTTCAATTAAGGGAATTTTTCTTCTTCCTTATTGGCGCTGTAACCGCCTAACCGATTTTGGCTGAGTCCAAAACAGCACGCCAGTCATTTCTCTTCTGTGCTAACTGACGCCAATTGGAAATGCCAAGTGAAGGCAAGTTCTTCTCTACCTGGTCTTTCCAAAGCAGAGGAGGCCTTCCTCTTCCTCTGTTACCAGCATCGCGGCCGGGTTGAATATTTTCAGAGCAGGAGCGTTTCTGTCCATTCGAACGATATGGCCAAGCCAGCGGAGCCGCTGAATTTTAATTCGCTGCACTATGTCTATATCGTTATAAAGCTCATACAGCTCATCGTTAAATCGTCTGCGGTATTCGCCATCACCAATGTGTAAAGGTGAATTAGGTAATAGAAATAAATATACACATATGGGCGCCAGATGAACAGCCTCTAAGAAGGTAATAGTTTATAAATATTTTGAGGAGGGTTGCCACCTGTTTGAAAAGGCGATTTCAGTTAACTTCTACACAATGAAATATTAAAATATCTCAAACAAAATAGAGTTCAGAAATCTTTAGTTTAACACTAAGAGTATTTTTGACTAGTTTAAAGAGAGTTGCCACCCGTTTAAAAGTTAAATTCAAATTATTTATTAAGTTGAATGAATTATTAAGATATTGTTATCACTCGAAATGGGTTTGACAAGGTTTCATTTCTGAACTATATTTAGAGGGTTGCCACATATTCAAAAAACAAAACTCAAATTAATTCATCAGTTTAATAGAATATGTATCACGATGTCAAACGAAGGTTAAATAACCTTTTAATAAGGTTTTAGCTTGAAAATATTTTAAAGAGGGTTTCCACCTGTTTGAAAAGTTTAATTTAATTAACTTGCATATATACAAATTATATGAAATATTAAAATACAGGTGTCTCACGAAAGATTGCTGAGAATACTTTAGTTTGAACATCTATGTTTGAAGGGGGTTGCCACCTGTTTAAAAAGTACTTTCAAATTATTTAGATGAATAGATGAATTACTAAAAGATGAATATGAGTCGAATTGGGGTTGAAAATGCTTTATTTTTTACCTTTAATTAGGAAGTTTGCCTCGTGTTTGAAAAATCAAATTCCACTTAATTCATAATTTAATTGAAATATTTGTCACAATTTTTAGTGTTTCATTAAAAACGGCCTCAAGCTCAATTAAAAATGTTGAATATAATTGTTATAAGGCCATAAAAAAACAAAAACAAATAACTTAAGGACGAGCACACCTAAAAGTTAAACATTCTAAAAATAGAATTATTAACAAAAAACAACAAAACCAACAACCACATGATCAAGTGTGAATTGCAGCGCAATAGCTGCACTTGACAAATGCTTGGCTTAATAAATGAAAAAGTGGGAAAAAAGCAACGATAATTTACAAGGCGAACTTAGCACAGTGCATAGGCAACTGGCTGAGTCAGTGGGATTGTCGGTTCGAATCCTACTGAAAGAAGTCTGGTGAGGAAATGTGGTAATTTCCGAAATAGCTATCAAGTCTACAATTTTTTCAAATTATTGTTGCTTTTCCACAATAAGTTTTTCATTAAAAACGGCCTCAAGCTCAATAAAAATTGTTGAATATAATTGTTATAAGGTCATAAAATAACAAAAACAAATAACTTAAGGACGAGCACACCTCAAAGTTAAACATTCTAAAAATAGAATTATTAACAAAAACCAACAACCACATAATCAAGTATGAATTGCAGCGGAATAGCTGCGCTTGATTGTGTTGGTTAACAAATAAAAAAGCAACGATAATTTACAAGGTGAACTTAGCACAGTGCGTAGGCAACTGGCTGAGTCGGTGGGATCGTCGGTTCGAATCCTGCTGAAAGAAGTCTGATGAGGAAATGTGGTAATTTCGGAAATCGCCATCTGTTCCGTAACCAGCAATATAATTTCAGTTTCAAGTAGGGTATATATGTTCTCTTATACTACCTTTCATAAATATATATGAATGTAACCTTGTAATTTCATTTCACATCAACACATAGCTAAATATACATATGCGCATACGTTCTTTTATCCCATACGATTGTATTGTAGTCCAGTTAGGTACGGTAATATCAGCCCATAAGGTCACCTGAGGTATTTATATTTTCTGGAGTAGACTCGTTTTTTTAGTTTCGCTTCAGCATCACGTGGATGCAGTAATATTTGAGTAAAACTTAAACGAACTTAAAATAAATTTGCGTTTGCCAAAAAATCAAAATCATTCGTTTTTAATTTACAGTCCGCTGGTTTAGCTACATAAAAAATTGGTCCATCGTACCGGATCAGGCGCGAACGAGAAAAAAAATAAAATAAAAATATTATTTTATTGTTTCGGGTTTTCTTGAATTTCTGCACCAAGTGAAGGGAGTAAAATGCAGAAGTTGAAAGCGAAGCGATCCTTGCTAAAAGGAGCGGTCACACGCATCTTAAATTTCGTTACTAGCAGTGGAGCTGAT